TCCCAGCGCCATATTGTGGGAGAGCAGATGCATAGAATAAGTCTTAATTCCAGTAACTTAGTCTAGTCCGAGTTGCTCCCCACAATCCAGCCTCTCTAGAATTCTAGAGTGAGAGGTCTCCCACTAAGGTCTATATGGGGGTTCCCAAGCCAGGTGGAAAAAATGGTAATTAGAATTGCTAGCAAATACCTACCATGTTTATTTTCTCACATATAATTTTGTTAGTCATTTGAAAGAATTGATAGATAAGTCACCCATAATAATAATTTTGATATGGATTTCTAAGATAATTTTGATAATTTGATAATTTTGATATGGATTTCTAAGAATATTTGAACTCTGTACAGAAAGATAACATATTTAAAACTATAATAAAGTTCTTTAATATATTACTAAAATAAGTAGAAAAATTCAGGAAGGTACATTTGGTTACAAAAATCAGCTAATCTGTCCTAAGTCATTGCTAAGATAAAGTAGGAAAATTTAAATGACCAATAGCTATTTTTCAGCATCATGCTTACATGTCTTTTTTTAATATTAATTTTTTTTTGACAGGCAGAGTGGACAGTGAGAGAGAGAGAGAGAGAGAAAGGTCTTCCTTTGCCGTTGGTTCACCCTCCAATGGCCGCCGCGGCCGGCGCGCTGCGGCCGGCGCACCGCGCTGATCTGATGGCAGGAGCCAGGAGCCAGGTGCTTTTCCTGGTCTCCCATGGGGTGCAGGGCCCAAGCACTTGGGCCATCCTCCACTGCACTCCCTGGCCACAGCAGAGAGCTGGCCTGGAAGAGGGGCAACCGGGACAGAATCCGGCTCCCCGACAGGGACTAGAACCCGGTGTGCCAGCGCCGCTAGGCGGAGGATTAGCCTATTGAGCCACGGCGCCGGCCTTTAATATTAATTTTTAAATTTTATAAAACTAGACTATCCTTTTGTGTGTCTTTTTAGTAGAGGGTGATGTCTACAGCAGGGAAGAACAATTGGAAAATGTGTCCTTTATCTTTTGTAAAGTCTTTTAGCAGCAACAATGTACCATTTATTGAGTACTTACTATGTTCTTTGCATTGCTTAGGGATTACACATCTTATATAGTCTTCACAACAACATTTCATGTCTACAGATAAGAAAATTGAGGCCCAGAGAAGCCAAGTGACTTGCTAAAGATCACACATCTGGCTAGTGAATACCATAATTAACATTTCAATTTTTATTTCTTTATTTTCATTGTATTTGAAAGGCAGAGAGAGTAAGAGCAAGAGAGAGAGAAAGAGAGAGAGTTTTTTTTTTTTTTTTTTTTTAAATCATCTGACTTATTCTCCAAATGCCCACATTAGCCAGGGTTGGGTCAGACCAAAGCTAGGAGCTTGGAACTCTATCCAGGTCTCCCACATGGGTGGCAGGAACCTGACTACTTGAATCTTTACTTGCTGCCTCTCAAGGAGCAGGAAGTTGGAACTGGAGGCCGAGCCAGGAATCAAATTCAGGGACTCTGGAATGAGATGTAGTTGTCCCAGGAGAAGTCTTAACTGCTGTGCCGAATGTCTGTCTCTAGGATTTTAATTCCTATTTAATGAAGGCCATTTGAGATATAATTTAGCATATGGCTGCTATAGGGCATCTAAGAAAAGCCTTATACAGATTAATTCCCTTTCAGGATTCAATTGGGATATTTTATATGCTCGCTGGACTTCCGTGTGAATTAGGTGAATGTCCATGTGATTTAATATGTTAGAGGGCATATCATGCTCAGTACCAGATATGACCTGACAGTGTGTTCTTACCCACTGAAATATTTGCAGTTCCATGTTGGCAAATGTGAAAATTTCATGTAATCTAAACTAAAATTCTAATTTTGAGTTTTGTTGATGTTTTTTAGATTATGTGTTTGTAACAATGAAATTTATCCATGTACTGTATTAATGTATCAAACAATTTAATGGGTCAAATGGCCAAATTTCTAGTTTCATCAGAATACCATCTAAGCACTCGATTGACAAAAAAATCAGTCATATTTAAATGCAAGTTGAGTGGACATCTCATTTTGCATATGCATATCTCTGATTATAAATGTTATAAAACCTTCAAGTTCAGATTTTTGTTTTCTCACAGAAGGAGTTGATAATGAGTCATCATTAGATAGAGTTACCATCATGAACTTAAAAATATTCTAATAAAGGAAATAAACAAGACAGAAGGACATTACTTCCCATTCAAGGGAGATAGCTCAGGTCTGATGAATTGAAAAGGAAATGCTCTTTGGAGAGATTATAAATGGGATTTGTAACCTTCTAAGAGGATGTAGTTTCTTTTTGCTTCTCTACTCGTGCCTCTGATTTTCTGCTTACTCATTTGTGACAGTGAAAGCTATTGAAAGTGACTGTTCCCTTTCTTCTCTTAATGGAGAGACAAGCCAGAGAATGAGAGAGTGTGCATGTGTGTGAGGCAGGGTTTTCAATTTCTGACTTCAGACTTCGCACCTGCCCTTGGGTCCCTGAGAGAAGCCTGCATCTGGGAGCGCTCCTGGAGCACGCGTTGAATAGAGAAAATACTTCTAATTTTTATTGGAATACAGTGCTGAAAATGAAGCAAAAGCTTTACTAAATATAGCTCTGTTGGATAGGCTTCCCAGTGTTCACAAGAATCATAAGACATACAAAAGGTAACTTAAAATGAATTCCATTCTTGGATCTCTTAAGTGCCAATTCACAACCCATAGGAATTTTTTAAAGCCATTTTCCTCTGATTCCTAGTTCCCCATGCCAATTTTGGAACTATTCACAGGGCAAATCCAGAAACTGTCCCTGTGCTCTAATGCATACAGATTTATGTCTCGTTGTTCTCAGTTTGTTTTTTTCTTGTCTTTCCTCTTTTGTTCATGTTTCTCATTATCTTCATCATTTATGGCAAAACCCTGGAAATTTGTCAGGGGAGTGGAGAAGGAAGTTTTGAAAGAAGATGGTAATATTTACATGTTAGGAGATAGCAACCCTACCACAAATATTTATAATAAATTTCTCCCTTTTGCCTAAACTGTCTGAGTTGGTTTCTATTCTTCAAAGAAATTTTAAATGAAGAACAATTGTATGTGTTTATGGGCCACAGTGCAACATCTCATTACATGTATGTGTATCAGGGTAAACAACATTTCCTCTTCCTGACGTTAGTTTATGCTTACAGCCTTGGAGTTCCTTTCTTCTATCTTCTCATAAAAAATATAATACTTGGGGCTGGTTCCGTGGCACAGTAGGTGAATCCTCTGCCTGTGGCACCGGCATCCCATATGGGCGCCAATTCCAGTCCTGGCTGCCTCTCTTCCAATCCAGCTCTCTGCTATGGCCTGCGAAAGCAGTGTGAGATGACTCAAGTGCCTGGGCCCCTGCACCCGGACGGGAGACTGGGAAGAAGTACCTGGTTCCTGGCTTCGGATCGGCACAGCTCCGGCCATTGCAGCCATCTGGGGAGTGAACCAATGGAAAGAAGACCTTTCTCTCTGTCTCTCCCTCTCACTGTCTGTAACTCTACCTCTCAAATAAATAAAATATTAAATATATATGTATATATATAATATCTGATTGTGAACTGTAGTCTCCCCACCTTACTGTGGGAACAGGAGGAACTTAGAACTTTGATCTAATTCTGATTGAGACTCATAATCTAAACTGGTTTCTATTGTTTCTGGTGGTTCTAAGAATGATGTTGGGGGTTAATGGAGATAATGGGGGAATTGAGGGGAGAATTCTGACTTTTTGACTTAAAATCTATTGCTCCTTTTACATACCCTGGCTCTATCTTCATAGACATCCACTGACAGAATTGAGGAGAAGAAACTGAGCACTTTTAGAGCACATTTAATTTTTTTTAGTAGTCTGTAGGTGGGGCCAGCACTATGGCATCATGGGTAAAACTGCCACCTGCAGTGCCATCATCCCATATGCACGCTGGTTTGAGTCCCAGCTGCTCCTCTTCTGATCCAGCTCCATGATGATGGCCTGAGAAAGCAGTAGAAGATGGCCCAAGTGCTTGGGCTCCTGCATCCATGTGGGAGATGTGGAAGAAACTCCTGGCTCCTGACTTCAGATTGGCCCAGCTTCAGTTGTTATGGCCACTTGGGGAGTGAACCAGCAGATAGAAGACCTCTCTCTCTCTCTCTCTCTCTCTCTCTCTGCCTTTGCCTCTCTGTAACTCTGCCTTTCAAATAAATGAATCAATCTTTAAAAAAAATGGTGAGGCAGGCTTTGTGTCTGTCTTGGTCACTTGTGTATTTATTGTGGCTAGCACATTGGGATATGAGAAAAACTGTTTATGCTAAAAAGGTCTTTTTTGATGAATGAATTAAAGAATGAATGAAACTGTCATCTTCAGTCATTTAAAAAGTTGATTGCAAGTCTATTTACATTTGTGGGATATTTTGACAGAAAATATGATGGGCAAATGTAAACTGTATAATTATCACTACTATTAAACTTATGCTGCCTTTCAGGGTAAAATATTAAAGTTCTGTATTTTTTCATCATAGTGACCATTTTTCCCCTGTAGTTTATATCTCAGGGGAACTTTTCCAATTAACTGTGATTTCTGTTGAAAGCTCTTGACTCCGAAAGGGCCATCAGTCTTATCTTCAAGTGAAGACTCTGTGTTACATGTTAACCCAAACGGGAGGAAAGCTAATTTTGTTAATCAGAAACAGCTCTAGTTACATAGTGTAGGCCTGAAAAATGTGGCATGGAATACGGACATGGGAAAGGACTGATGAAACAATATTTCAAACCACGTTTTCCACATATGTTGCAATGAATCTGTATTTGTATTACGATGAATACAAAACCTAATGGACTTGAAAACCTGATGAGTGTGCTCTATCATGGTGAGACTAGCATTGGGCCAGGGAAAACCTTGACTTTCTACTCTTACAGCCCAACAACATTTGTAGCAGCGGCGCCTTCACCTTAATATTTCTGACCTATGCTCAGAAAGGACCTGAGTTTCTTTTCTTGAAGACTCAAGTCTTCTTGCTTCTCTCCCCTGAATTCTTAAGATCCTGGGCTCATGAAGGAGATGGACCTAATACTTCCAGGGCAAGAGGGTATCACGGTGAGCTTCATTTCCTTATTTATTTATTTTGTTTAGATTTGTCTTGTTTATTGGAAGGGCAGAGTTACAGAGAGAGGAAGATAAAGAGAGAGAAAGATCTTCCATCCACTGGTTCACTCTGCAAATGCTCACAAGCATCAAGGCTGGGCCAGGCGGAAGCCAGGAGCCGGGAACTCCATTCAGGTCTCCACCTGGGTAGCAGGGGCCCCAGTACGTGGACCATCTTCTACTGCTTTTCCAGGCATATTAGTAGGGAGCTGAATGAGAAGCGGAGCAGCCAGGACTCAAACCAGTGCTCGTATATGGGATGCCAGCTTTGTAAGCAGCAGCTTAACCTGATGTGCCGCAACACTGATTCCGGCCCCCTACCTTGTTTCCTTTTTGATCTTCAGCTGGACTGAAGTATTCATGTTGGTGTGCAGCAGAGTGTGCTTTGGGCTGAAAGTCTAGGGTTCAAACTTGACATTGGTACTTTAGGGTTTGTTACTTTCAGTAAGCTAATCAATTCTCTCTCTCTCTCTCTCTCGCTTTTTTTTTTTTTTTTTTTTTTTTTTTTTTTTTTACAGGCAGAGTGGACAGTGAGAGAGAGAGAGAGAGGTCTTCCTTTTGCCGTTGGTTCACCCTCCAATGGCTGCTGTGGTAGGCGTGCTGCAGCTGGCACACCGCACTGATCCGATGGCAGGAGCCAGGTGCTTCTCCTGGTCTCCCATGGGGTGCAGGACCCTAGCATTTGGGCCATCCTCCACTGCACTCCCTGGCCACAGCAGAGAGCTGGCCTGGAAGAGGGGCAACCGGGACAGAATCCAGCGCCCTGACCGGGACTAGAACCCGGTGTGCCGGCGCCACTAGGCAGAGGATTAGCCTATTGAGCCATGGCGCGGCCAGTTCTTAAACATTTATTTTTTAATATCTATTTATCTACTTTATTTAAGGGGGGGGAGAGAGAGAGAGACAGAGAGAATATGAATCTCCCATCTGCTGCTAGTTCAGTCCCCAAATACCCATAACATCCAGGATTTGGCCAGACCAAATCCAGGAGTCTAGAACTCAATCTGAGTTTCCCCCATGGGTGGTAGGGCCCCAATTACTTAAGCCTTCCTGGCTCCCTCCCAGGGTCTGCATTAGCAGGCAGCTGGAATTTGGAGTAGAACTAAACACCTGCTCCTGTTGAATACTTCTGAGCCCCAAATTCATCTGCAAAGTCAGAACAACTGTGTATTTGCAGATTTGTCATGAAGTGAGGTCTGCTAAGTACCTGCTACGTAGTTGACCCCTCAAAAGCAGTGCTTCCGTTTCCTTCCCAGTCTCTTCCCTCCACCCAATTTTCTATCTCCATGAAGCAGAGCTGTGACTTTACTGACTCTTCTGAGATTTTCCTCTGGAAAAATATTTTCTTTCAACTCTTGGGAAGGATTTCAGGTGTTGTAGAGGCTTATGTCTCCCTGGCACCTGTGTCATCACGAGGCTTGGAACTCCAGAGCCCGGTGAGCTTGCAGGTAAAAAATGTGGAACTCAGCGAATCTCTAACCACTTTGCTCAGTCCAGCCTTTGGATACCACGTTATAGGCAAATGGCCAACCATTTGGATAGCTGTCCTACTTTTCTTATAAAGGCAACTCATAAAGCACCTATCATAGATTACAGAAGGGGATGACACATTGAGTATAAAGATCATTTCTGAATTCTTAAATAATTTAGACTTGCATATCAAGTGAGTTTACTCAAAAACAGGATACTTTTTCAATAGAGAGTGGATATTGAACAAATACAAATTTTGTGTTGTATCAAAAATTTTTAGGTTATTTTCACATATTTGAAGATAACTTTATAGGTTTATAATATTCACTAAGATATAAGCAAAAGTTCTAACTTCTAATTTGAATTACAGATACTAATTCTTTCAGATTTTGTGATATATTTAAAATAAGATTCATTTATTTATTTGAAAGGCAGAATGATAGAGAGAGGGATGAGGTGGAGGTGGGGGTGAGGGAGAGATTTTTCCATCTGCTGGTTCATTCCACAAGTGATTGCAAACAGCCTGGGCTGGTCCACACTAAAGCCAGGAGCCTGGAATTCCATGCAGGCCTCCTGCTTGGCCATCATTCACAGCCTTCCACAACCACATCTGCAGGGAGCTGGATTGAAGATGGAGCAGCCACCCACGACTTGGGACTCAAGCTGGCACTCTTATGGGATGCCAGTGTCACAAGCAGTGGCTTGGCCCACTGTGCCAAAAGGCTGGCTCCTGTGACTCTTTGTAAAGGGGAAAGATTGAATCCTTGTCAGAATGAAGCCACCATTGATGTGTATTATATATACTAAACACACACACACACACACACACACATTTCCCCCCATTTTAATTTTCTTTCTCTGTCGCTCCCCCTCTTCATGGAGGAACGACACTAAACCCTGCCTAGGCTTCATATCCGAGTCACAGCACCATTATGTCACTCCCCGTCTTCGTGGAGGAACGACACAGGACCCTGCGTTGTTCTTTCGTCTGCTCTGCCCTCCCCGGGTTTGCTGCTGGTTCTTCCTGGGTTGGCTACCGTCCCTTCCACCTCCGTGGAAGGGCGGTTCCCCCTGCCGCTTTCCCCACTTCCACGGGGGAGCGGCACACCGCTGGCCGGCTCTCTCGGGGGCTGCACAGGTGTTCCTTCAGATAGATGTTCCCCCTAGATGTTCCTGGTGCATGTTGTCTCTCTCCTCCTTTATAGTCCTCTTCCACCAATCCCAACTCTGCTACCCACAACGCCGAGTACGCTGCTCTCCTCCAATCAGGAGCAGGTCCTGCTGTTTATTGGTTGAACTGGAGGCAGCTGTGTAGAAGCTGTTTCCTCCTCTCCCAGCGCCATATTGTGGGAGAGCAGATGCATAGAATAAGTCTTAATTCCAGTAACTTAGTCTAGTCCGAGTTGCTCCCCACATTTCTCCCTTGGGTAGAATGGCCAAACATCTCAATTTACCCAGTGTGTTCTCATTTGGAGAACATTGTTCTGGCAGAATTACTAACATAGCACCTTGGCCTTCAAAAGTGGCTTGAAGGATGGAATTGTATAAGTACACTAAACTTGGGACATTGCATTTCATTTTTTCCTTTGAAATTTCAACTTATAGTCTCTGTTTTACCTTTGCATTAGGGCTTCTGTGGAGAGAAGTCAGGATTTGTGGGAGTTCATGAACTTGGATATAAAAATAACTATGCCTTTATCATGTCTAACTCTAATTGCCCTTTAATTTTGAACGTAGGTAACAAACCACAATTTTATTAGTATGTTTGTGACTTTGTCACTAATGAAAAAACTACAGATATTTTCCCCCTTTTATTTAAAACTTTTGATTAACATGTAATACGTATGCATTTTAATGGAGTATGGTACAATACATCAATACATGTATACAGCATAAACCAATAAAGCCAGGCTATCAGCCTCTAAGTCTCCTTATCCCTTTGCTGTGTTTGGAGCCTACCATCCCCTCTCCTGCTCCTTCACAGTATATGGTGCATTACTGTGAACTACGGCTGTCCCCACTGTGCTGGGGAACTGAAGCACTTGCTACTTCTGTCTGACAGTGTTTTGGTATTTGTTATCTGACCTCCTTCTAGCTCCTCCCTTACCCTTCCCAACCTTCCCTTCCCATCACTATTCTAAGTTCAGTTCAACTATTTTTTTTAACTTCCATGTATGAGGGAGATCATACGGTATTTGTTTTCTGTGTCTGGCTTATTTCACCTAACACAGTCATCTCCAATCATATCCATTTAGCTGCAAATGTCAGGATTTTATTCCTTTTTTATGACAGAATAATATCCACTGTGCGTTTGTAGCACATTTGCTTTATTCATCTGTGGACAGACACCCGGGTTGACTCCGTATCCTTGCTATTGGGAATAGTGCTGCAGTCAACATGGGAGTGTCAGTATCTCTTTCATAAGTGTATTTTGTTCCTTTGGCCCTGTACCCAGAAGAGGGACAGCTGGGTCAAATGGTTGATCCATCTTACATTTTTTGAGGACTCTCCATACAGATATTTTCATATCACTTTATAGCTGTTGCAGATATGAAATGTTATTCACATGCATGGTTATTTCTAAATTAGAAGGATCACATGGACTCACACTCGTTATAACTACCAATATTGTGTGTGATTGTTGGCCCCCTCTTGACCGACCAATGCCTTTACCAAATGTAGCATCATCTGTTCTCATAGAGGTGTCCAGACATTCATGCTGCTTTGCAGTATCTCCTCTCTACCTTTATTTGTTGGTCACAAGGAGGAAGAGATGAGCCATTTCCACTGTTTTGTAAAATTTTGCAAAACTGGATTGTTTAAATAAGAATTCTTGATGTTTTGTAAGGCCCCAAGGCCTATTGAACGTGGTATATGGGCTTCATAGCGCCATAATGGATTCTTTTGGAAATGCACCAACTTTCTTACTTAAGCTGCTAATGTGGAATAAACTTTCTAACTGTCAATGCTGGAGGGGATATTTTATCCCACGGAGACACAAAATTCTCAATATCTTTGGAAGAGAAATTTGCAAACATCTGGAAACATTTCAGAAAGCTTTACAAGTCTATTTTATCTTGATGGCATTAAAGTTGAACAAGTAATCACCATTTCTTTTCCTTTTTGATATAAAATTTATTTATTAAGATGATGATCTACTCAGAGAGGAATTTGTCAGTCTTAGGCTGAAAGACTGAACTACAATTGGAATTTAACTTAAAAAGTCTTGGAGAATTCAGGTATTTCTGGAGCATAGCCACCACTGTCTTAAAATGCAGCTGTGAAAGCCTTGATCCGTTTGCAAAAATTTATATTTTTAAATCAAGATTTTCAACACCTTTAACAAATAATATAAAAACAGTGAAATCAGTTTTCTAGCCAACATGACATGTTTATAGCTTTTTCAAAGGCCTTTCTACAGCTTAATGTTCTTACTCAATCTAAGCAAAAAATGTCTTCTTACAAAGTCTTTAAAACAAAGTTTGCCTATATTTTAAATGTATTCTTTTATTTAATGGATTGATGAAGAATTATATAGTATTACATTACACATTTATTTTTCAAAACTATTTTGATAAAAATATTTCAGTATCAATGGTTTCTGTTATAATTCTGTGAATTTCATTCTATGCATGTAAGAACATCATTCTAAAAAGGAGCCATCATTTTGCCAGATTGCCAACAAGGTACACTACACACACACACACACATACCACAGGTGAAGACCATTGGCTTTGGACCTATATCTCAGAGTAGAGACCTTGAGGAGGTATAGTATGTAAACTTCTATTTATTTACTGGACAGATTTTTAAGGCCTTAGCTATAAAAGAGATTTTAATGGAACACCTGCTCTACAGACTCTTGCATATCTTGTTTCAGTAAATGGTTAGAAATAGTAAGTACTGTAGAGAAACAGAGGTAAGGTTCTCCGATGGTCAGAAGAAAGAGGTCACTGTCTATTGGGAATTGCAGGGAACATGCACAAAAAAACTATGTTTCTGCTGGTTCTGGAAGGATAGAAGAAGGTTAGGTAGCGTTCTCTGTGGAAGCAGAATCAATAGGACACACACATGGTGGGCTGCAAGAAGTTCATGGAAAGATGGAGCTTACAGACATTTATTTTGGTGCAAAATGTTTTGAAATCCATACATAGTTTTGTCATAATACATAGTTTCTATGATCTTTTTGAAGACTCCTCTCATATATGAAGAGATTTATTATGAGAAATTGGCTCACTTGAACATAAAGGTTGAGAAGTCCCAGAATCTGCTGTGCACTAGTTCGGAACCCAGAGAAGCTACCATTGCTTCGGAAGTGTCAGTCGGAAGGCCTCAGAGCCCGGGCGGAATGGTGTAAATCCCAGCTTAGGGGTGAGAGAAGACTCCAGTCCCAAGTCAAGCAAGTAGCAGGAAGCAACATGAAGAATCTCCCCCAGCTCTACTTCTTGGTCTTTCCAGAGGCTAATGCCCACCCATACCGGGGACTGGATTCTCCTTTACTAAGACCGCCAATCAAAATGCCAGTCTCACCTGGATGCACTCTGCTGTGGTCTCAACAGTTTCTGAACCCTCCAAATGCCCATGTCAAACTGCAACCCCTCCCCAAGGTGATGAGATCAAGAGCTGGGGCCTTCCAGGAGGTGATTAGGGGGTGAAAGCCAAGCCCTGTGACCGGAATGAGTGCCCTTCCTGGGGAGTCCAGAGAGCTTGGCCACCCCTGCCAGCATGTGGGGACACAGCAACAGGCGTCCTGCCGCAGACAGCCGGCCCTCATCAGATGTTCAACCTGCCAGCACCTTGACCTTGGTCAGCCTCCAGAATGTGAGAAGTTTCCATTGTTTGTAGGTTACCCAGTCAACAATATTTTATTATAGAAGCCTGAGCAGATTAATACGCACCCTCACAGACACACTCAGAACGTTTACTCTGGGTGCTCCATGGCTCCAGTCGACACATAAACGTACACATCACACTTGAGTAAGGCCTGGATACTTTTAGGTGGGAAAATCGATTCATCCGTAAAGTCACCCGAATCACTTCTGAGCAGACTTTGAGTTCTCCTTCTCCCTGCAACTGTGGTCAAGTCTTGTCAGCACGCCTCTTTACATTTCTCGCCTATGTGCTCTCCTGGCAGCCACCTCTGATAGTCTGCGGCTTCAGGCTTATTACCAGGACTCCTGGGATAGTCTTCTACCCTACCACGAGCTCCGACTTCTTTCTTCATCCTTCCCACAAAGGTCATCCCAACTACAGTGACAGTAATTGTCTGTGGATAGCACTAATGATAAGATCATGCTGTTTGAGTGACAGCACTTTATACCTATATATGTCCCACGTCCAGATGTTGAGTAGTCACATATGTTTTTCATTTTCCCATCATATCTATCCATTTTTTTTAAAACACTTTGTCCTGGAGCTGGCATAGAGGCACAGTAGGTTAGACTGCTACTTGTGATGCTAGCACCCCATACAGAGTGCTGGTTTGAGTCCCGTCTGCTCCTCTTCCATTCCAGCTCCCTGCTAATACACCTGGGAAAGCAGTGGACAGTGGCTCTAGAACCTGGGCCCCTGCCACCCAACTGGGAAACCTGGATGGAGTTGCTGGCTCCTGGCTTTGACCTGACCAAGCCCTGGCTCTTGTGGCCATCTGGGGAGTGATCTGGTGGATGGAAGATCTCTTTCTTTTTCTGTCTGGCTCTTCCCCTCTCTCTGTCACTCTGCCTTTTGAATATATAGATAGATCTTAAAATAAATAAAGACTCTATCCTACTTTTCTAGGAAGAATTTTCAGTTAACTCCAGGCAAAGGTTTCCAGTCTTTTCTTTTTACCAGCCTCCCTGTCTTTAATCGTATATCCTTGTATCCTGGCAACTGTGGATTTTTTTTTTAACATGTGTTTCTCTCTTCTCCCACATGGATAATGACCTTGGAAATGAAGTCATTTTCCTCATGTCACTTTCATAATGATATCATCAGTGATCTGGGAGCCCTGCATTCACAGCTGCTATTCTGTGGAAATATCACACTTATTAAACTAGAGTATGTTAGCTTTTTCCCTATATTTGCCCGTATGAGTACAGTACCTTATTCATCACTACCATTTTATACTAGTATAACTAATAAGATCCTATTTCTCTCTTCCAGGCATATTTGTGATAAAATGTGTATGCAAATTCAATTGGGAATGGTGAGAAATGCATCCTTCTCATTAATTATTTTAAAAGTCTGCCTTGGAATCATTACAGACATAGCATGAATAATTTTTATCACACAAAAATAGACACTGCAGTTGGGTAAGACTTGAATATTTTCAGGTGGGAAAATCAATGTATCTGTGAATTCATCCAAATCACTTCTGAGCAGCCTTTGATTTCTCCTTCTTCTCCCTGCAACTCTTATTTATCTAGAATTAAGCCAACTCTTATCTATCTAGAATTAAGCCAACTCTTATCTATCTAGAATTAAGCTAATCTTTTAATTTGCTTGAGAAATCCACAGTAACATGAATCAGAGAAATGGAGTTATGGCAGCTGCTAATTTTTTTTTTTTTTTTTTTTTAAGAGGCAGAAGGAGGCAAGAGTTCTGGTCCACTAGTTCACTTCCCAAATGCCTTCAATGGAAGCTCAATCCAGCTCTCCCACAAGGGTGGCAGGAACCCAGTTACTTGAGCCATCAGCATTGCCTTCCTGGGTCTACATTAGCAGGAAGCTGGAGCCAGGGGTGGAACCCAGACACTCCATTGTGAGACACTGGCTTCCTAACTGGCATTTTAATCACTAGGTCAAATGTCCACCCAGCAGCTTCTACTTGTACACAAGTGGTATAGTCCCCTGCAAGATGGGACTAGTTTAGTCTTGGACTCTCTGAAGACTGTGGGAGTCCTGTATTCTGAACTTGTATTTGCAATTCTGGGCACACTTTACAAAGTGGCTTCCCAGCAAGGAGTTTCTATGTGCATATCCAAATGAGATCACCGCAAATACCAATGCCTGCAGCTTGGTTTCCATGTCTGATCATCATCCCCAGCCACAAGGAGCCATCCATCTTGATTATTTGTTACAACCTCAGTCTTTGAGAATTTAACCTTAAATTTTTACTTCCCCTATAATTCAGGATTTTCAAGCCATTTATCACAGTCTAGAGAAAATTAAGTTCTCACAGTGTTCTCTTAAGTACCCGAGAGGATATGATCCCTCAAATAATTAAACTCTAGAGGAAACACTTTACAATAGATTTATTCCCTAAATAAAATTTTTGCTGAATCTTTCTTTATCTCAGTCTTATCCTGATTAGACGATGTACTAAAGTTGTAATGATAAATCAAAATTATGTAAGAATTCCTCCTTTCTCTGTGCTGCTTTAAAAATATGGCCAGAAGATCACCTGCATCAGAATCAAATGCAGATTCTTGTTCTATCCTGGGTGAGGAATTTGCACTTTTAACAAGCACTCCGGGCAATTTCTACGCACCATAAAGTCTGCGAACTACTGCTTTAAGTCATTTGAAAATTACACCCTCCAGATACAGCAGCTCTCTGAATCCTCCTTTTTCTTGGTCTACTGAGTACAACTGTAGTGTCCATGGGCATTTCCTTCTCATGCTGTGCCGGCCACATTTATCCCTCAAGGGGACAGTCAAGGAACTGGGTCTTCCATGCCCAGTCAGGACGCAGTTATTATAAAGCTCGTAATTGGCTGCTTTTCTTTTTGTCATTATTATTTCTTTTGCATTTGACATGTTTAACTTCAAACCTTGGGCTCGTAAATGTGGCTGTTCTCTTGCTTACCGAGCAACAAGGATTCTTTTCGGAACAGCAAGAACTCATTTTTGGAAAAAGTCCCTGTGAGCCTCTGCTTAGTGATTTAATGTCTGTTCAATCCCTCCCTAGATTCAGTTACAGAAACTTTGGGTAGTAAAGGTAAAGGCTTGCAAGAATTATGATGACTATTCAGAATAGAAACCTTTACTGCTCACATTTTCATTATTTTCATTAACTTCTCTCCTTAATTCCAAAGTATATGCATTATGTATTTATCAAAAGTTTCACTTATCATTATTGTCAAGTAGTTTGTAAGAACTGTCAAAAGCCTGTAGAATGTTTAGATGACCACAACTTGATAAATATTTCTCACCTCCTTTCGTAGATGAACATGCCTGTAATTACACATTCGTATAAAAAAAGACTCTTCAGAGCCTTGTAATTACGAACACTCCATAACGATTTTAACGTTTCCTGCCAAATGCCCTCACTTGTGGTAATTTTCAAACATTGTATAAAATGACACACGTTCCATATATGAGGTGTGATAAAAACGTAAGACAAGTCGCACATGAAAATGGTTCTCATTACTTTATAATCACACCTCATACATAATCTCAGTCAGTCAGTCATGCAATAGAATTTTTAAAACCCCCGCCCTATTGCCCACCTACCTCTAATCTGCTTCCCCTTTGGCCACCCCAAGGTGAGAGAACGGAGATTGCCATCCAAAGACATCTGGTGCGGAACAGAGGGGCGCCATCGAAATGCCGGGGCGGATTGTCGGCAGGGCTCTGCCACCACTGGAAACTCAGCACTTACGCGCTCTTGAAATTATTTCTGGCTGCTTCACGGAGGGCTGCTCCAGGCAAAACCATGCCGTAAGTGAAGTCTTGCTTCTGCACTTCGTCTCCGCGTGGTCTCCAGGGCCGCCCTCCATTCCCCACAGCGGGGAGTCTTCCGCTGTGTTTCACAGGCAGGTGAGTTCTCTCTGCTCCTCCTAATCAAGCCGTATTCATCATATGCTCTCCTGTATCCCTAATGCTAAATAATTAATAATTCTATTTTTTACCTGTTTGCTGGTCTACTCCATTAAGCTATTTGTCCTATCATGCTTCACAGGGATTATAGTAGCCATCCTTAACACAGTGCATATTCTACAAAAAAAGTTTAGGAAACCTATCAGTACAGTTCCACACTTGTTGTTGCTGGATTTTTTTCCGTACATGCATTCTAAACCCCACAATATACTGATGGTATTTTTGCTTTAAACAATTTCCTTCTTAGCAACCTAAACATTTTATATAAATACCTTTTTGAATGATATTTTGTGTTTCCCCACATAGTTAGCCTATTTCACGGCCTTCCACTCCACCCTCAGCTTTGATCTGTCATCACTTTCCTTCAACTTGAGCAACTGCTCTTAGCATTTCTTGTAGTACAACTGTGCTGGAGGTGAATTGTCTCAGCTTTAGTTGGTCCAAAAGCGTCTTTAAGGTAAAGGGTATTTATACTGGGTATAGAATTCTAGGTTGATTAATATTTTATTATTGTCATCCAGCTTTCTCAGTTTCTGATGACAGTATATTCATTCTTAATGTTAATCCCCCTGAATGTGTGACATCCTTTTTTTTCTGGTTGCTTACATATTTTCCCCTTTATGCTTGGTGTTCAGTATTTTGACTAGACTGTGTTTAGATTTGATTTTCTTTGTGTCTGGATTTATTTTTCTTGGTGTTGAACTTCTTGGCTATCACTCATCAACTTTTGGAAAATTATTACACATTTTTCTCTTTAGGTATTTCTCCTACCTCATTGGTTCTTTTCCTCCTCTTTGGAAACTCCACTTTTATGGGTGTTAGACCATTTAACACTGTCATACAGGTTTCTAATATTCTCTTCAGATTTTTGTTCATTCTTATTTTTTCTCTTTTTCCTTCAATTTGGGTTTTTATTGATTCAACTTAGTATTTGTTATGCTTTGTCTAGTCTGCCATTAACTCCATGGAATAAATTTTTTATTTCTGATATTATGATTCACAGTTTTATACTTTCATCATGTTCTCTCTCATAGTTTTCATTTCTTTGCTGGGATACCATGTGTGCCAATTGCATTCATGCTTGTTCTTAACCTTCTTCTTGTATGCTTGACATAGCAACATATTCATTTTGGTCTTTTGTGCGAATTCCAAAATCATGTCCTCTCTAGGTCAGTGTCTAGGTACATCTTCTATCTTGAATTCTATCTTCAATTTGGGTTCTGGGCAGGGGAGATGCTCTCTGTCCTGAATTACTCTCTAAGGCTTTCTGTGCCCCTGACCATCTCCTAGCTGTCCTGCCCTCTTTCTTCAGCAGACCTGCTGGCTTGCACTCAGGGAAGGACTTATGCCCCATTGGGGTGCCCACCCCAGCCTCTAATGTACTCAGTGTGGTCTTTTTGCCACTCAGGGTAATTGCTCTGAGCTTTCTGACCTTGCCCTCTGTGTTCACCAGTTGTTCCCTTCTCCTTAGGTAATACTCAGTGCACCTCAAAAGTATCTCCCATAGCTGTCTTCTTCTACTCCTAGCCTTCTTTGCTGTGCCATAGGTGAATATCTTACAGGAAAGAACTAGCAATTAAGGCAATGTAACTGTGTTACTAGGTTTTCCCAGGCTTCTCATCTATGATGCCAGCCCACACATCACCATTAAAATGTGTTGAACATTGGGCTGCTTTCCCCTCACCCTTGTCAGTGACAAGTTCATTGCTGCTATTGCTCAACCAGGGGAAAAAGCAGACATGGGTCTTCTTTCTCTTAAGAAGAGTCCTTCCTATTTGGAATTTAGCTCATTTAAGTTCATTTAGGTTCACTCCTCAGCTCTTCGGTGGTGTCTAATAACTATGATTTGTTTTAAGTTTTTAGCTTTTCCAGCTTGTTCTTGTTAGTGTGGGAGCAGTTATTTGAGACTTTCTACACCCTAACCAGAAGCAGAAGCCTCTTAATTTTTAATTTTAGCATCCTTATTATTGAAAACATATCTTTTCTCATTAAGCATTGGACATGTTTTGGAAAGTGTCTTGAGTCATAGCTATTCTTTGAATTGGGAAGGTGGTTCTGCCAAGCCCAGGATTTCATAGGCATCTGGGAAAAAAAGAGCTAAGGAGATGGCACTACCAGCTCACACTGAAGAACACCCGCGGTCATGCGTGTGTGTATGGAAACACTTCCTTTCAGACCACAACTAAATGAGTGTGTACTGTAGGCGGGATTTCCGGGGAGGAGGGGGAGCAGCTAGATTTTGCTGCCTCAGCTCTCGTTCTGTCCTCGTGGAGTTACCTGACAATCGCTGCTACCACCATGATGCCTTAGAAGTTGCTCGCTCAATAATCTGGTACAAAAATGAATTGTGAGGGGTTTGTGTTATGTCAGCCTTGCTACAGGGAAATTGCAATCCCTTCCTTGCATACTTCCGAGTTGGGGGCGGCCATAAAAGACTATTTGCCCGAGGAATGAAAGATGACGAGGCAGCCACATTCGTTTTATGTCTGGAAGGTCGATCCAGAGGCACCAGGTGCCTCACACACATCTGCCACTCACACACGTTATCATTTACCCTCGGGCTCGCTTAGTTGACTAGGCATCCTGCCAAGCCTGCAGCTCCCTTGCTTCCCAGTGAATCCTCTTTCCGTTTCTCTGGCTCCTGGGCCCTGAGAGTACCCAGCTCTGGGAGACAGGGCACCTGTTTCTTCTGCAGGACACCGAGTCATCAGACCTGGGATGCTTAGAGCAGTGAGGGACCAACACAGCTCTGGTCAGTCTCTACGGGTTCTGCTATGTGTTTGTTCTGCTTCATTTCCCACCCGTCTTCCTGCTCTGCTGGCTTCAGGACCCAGCACCGACAGAAAGCAAACAGTGTCACAGAGATGGTTAACCAGGTTCTACGATTGCCGTTGGTGCAATCCCTGTGATGAATCCCTTGTGAAATACAGATGCTCTTCTCAACTTACAATGGGGTTCCACCTTTCAGTTGTTTCATTCCTCTGGTGGCAACTGACGGATGGTGGAAACTGATATACAAGCCTTCGCTTCCACCCTAGGGTCCAGCCAAGGCAAGGAAACAGTTAAGCAAAATTTTATCTCGTGCTGGAGAACATGAGGGAATAAGAGGGAAGCAAAGTTAGAGCTTAGAATCCAGATACTATGATTAATTGATGGATTATTTTTCCCCCAAAGGCAATTCTCCCTGCACAAACCCTTCCCTAATTCCCATTTCAAATGCTTTATTCCCTTCGACCTGAGAAGATCTTTGTTAGCTACTTCAATTCATCAAAGTGTAGGCCATGAAAAGGAAGCGAGAAGCTAGAATCTTCTTTCTGTCTGTTTAAGGCCCATTCTCATGGTCCCATGTTCTCTTCAAGGCCTCACGTCTTCCCGCATGACATCAGGAGTCCCAGCAGCCTCCCAGAGTGAAAGTGTGTGTGCCAGCCCTTAGACAATGCAACAGGTCACCAAGGCTGTGCAAAGCCACCACATTCAAGTACAAAACCTATACCTTCACGGGCAAATCTTCTTTACAAGCACACGATTACTATTAGATGCAGTCCTTCACTAAGGCTAATTATATGAACTGGCCCTTCTTCCTTCCGCAGGAGAGATGGCCTCTTCACTCGTCCTCAAGACACAACTCTTTCTGCCCTCGATGTTTGCTTTACCCTAGTTTCGCTTATATGAACTAGCTGGGAGCTGGGAAGCTCACGCTGTGCTCTCCCTGGTTCTAAGTCCCCTGCCTTGATCGGGGTTGTAGGGGAGAGGTTTGGTGCTGGGATCACTTGGCTTTTCCAGTGACATCTACGTAGACAGTGACCTACCTCCTCAATGGCCTTAGCCCGCCTTCATGTTTTATGTTCCCTTCCTAGTTCAATTATAATTAGTTCTTGTGCAATAAAGAAACTTTAAGAGCAGCCAGAATTGAGGCCGCTATCACCCTGGAGCTGGACGGGATTATAGAATACAGTTCAACTGTCGCTCCCCCTCTTCGTGGAGGAACGACACAGGACCCTGCGCTGTTCTTTCGTCTGCTCGGCCCTCCCCGGGTTTGCTGCTGGTTCTTCCCGGGCTGGCTACTATCCCTTCCACCTCCGTGGAAGGGCAGTTCCCCCTGGCCACATTCCCCACTTCCGCAGGGGAGCGGCACACCGCCGGCCGGCTCTCTGGGGCTGCACAGGTGTTCCCCTTAGATGTTCCTGGTGCATGCCGTCTCTCTCCTCCTTTATAGTCCTCCTCCGCCAATCCCAACTCGGCTGCCCACACGCCGAGTACGCTGCTCTCCAATCAGGAGCAAGTCCTACAGTTTATTGGTTGAACTGGAGGCAGCTGTGCGGAAGCTGTTTACTTCTCTCCCAGCGCCATATTGTGGGAGAGCAGATGCATAGAATAAGTCTTAATTCCAGTAACTCAGTCCAGTCCGGGCTGCTCCCCACATTCAACCCAGCCATTCTACAGATGAGAAAAATGACCCCAAGGAAGTGAAGTCACGCCATACGGCTGGCTGTGGAATAGCAGCCATTAAGGGGGTTCACAGTGAGAGCTGGAGTCTGCTTCAAAGACCACGTTCATTCTGATACATCACTGGTTACGTCCCAATGCATAACATGGGGCCTGGCTCACTGTTGATGCTCAAACCCCGAATGAATGAATTCATATGAGAAATGTACTGAGAAGTAACACGGCTAAAACCACAGCTCTAGGATAACTGAGCCAGGATGTAAATTGAGGCCTAGCAGCTTACCCATTACAAAGGTGAGGAAATGAGAGGCTTGCTCCGCGCCGCAGAGCCGCTGGGATGTCCTGTCCAGGCAGAGTGACACAGGGACTGCCAGCAGGAAACCGCGGTGAAGCCCCCATGCGTGGTGGTGAGGCTGAACTTCCTGTGCTGGTTCCACTGTTTCTCCTGGACTGGTTCTCCGGGTACTCCCTGGTGCGGGTTTCTCATGTTTGTG